GCCAGAAGATAGGCGGCTCTGCGGCTCCCAGAGCTAGCGTCATGGTGTGAGCTGCACCAAGAGCCAGCCAGGGGGCTGTGCCGGGTGGTAGGTGGCTCCACGGCTCCCAGAGCCAGTGGCGCAGTGTGAACTGCACCCCGAGCCAGCCAGGGCTGGGCCGGGCAAGAGGTCACGCTGTGCTGGAGCAGAGAGGTCATAAATGTGTGGGGGGGTCGTAGGTTGTAAGTCGGGTTCGCCTGTACAGTGATCCAGCAGCATTGATGCGTCTTAACTTCTGTCCCCCCCCCCCCCCCCGATCACCAGTTCATGGAATCAGCAAGATCTTTAGGAGAGAACGAACATTTAGATCAGAAGCTATTACAGCTGATCTTGCTTTCTGGCTAGGGCCTGAAACTGTGACAATGCAAAGCTCAAGTAAAGTCCACCTGACCTGCAAGTATCCAGAGGCTGAGATAAGTGAAAGTTGCCAACCCTTCTTCTCCCCAACACCTGCCCCAAGATGCAGCCATGTGAATGAACGAACACACACACACACACACACACACCCCTGCCTCCCCCCCCTCTATAGTTGATCACTCTGTCAATGCAAAGATCTTGGAAGAGAATTATGAAAGCTTAAACCAGATCCGAGGTGAGAGCGAGTAGACAATTCAGAATTTTTTGGTCTCCCCTTTTGTTTACTTGGCTAAGCTGATGACTTGTTCAACCCTGGCTCGCTCTTACCATAAATTGTGTAAGACAATCCACTGTCCCAATTACAATTTAGTATTGAAATTGCTTTCTATGTCTAAGCTGAGCAGACAAGGCCCACTGAGGAAGGGAGGACAAAGGAGGCCACTACCCAGGACCTGGTAATACCAATGGTGATACTACTGCTGTGGCCAGAGCCCTGGGCCCTTCACATTGCTGCAGGGATGCTGTGCTTGTGTGCTCCAGGCAGCACACAGGGCTACCTGGGGAGGCGTGGCACTCTGGATGGCGTTGAGGTCTGCCTAGCCCCAGTCCCATCACTTTCCCCAAAAAACCTGCCGAGCAGGCCCTAGCCCATACCTTGCCCTGGGGCCTGCAAAGCTGTAAGTTGTGTTCAACTGATGCTTCCATCTCCTCCTGAAATGTGCCCACTCCCTAATCTTCCTCTACTAAACGAAATAGGTCCCACTACACCAACTGTATGGTTCATTATGATAGGTTATGAGGCTGTCCAGCATTTTGACAAAGGAAAGGAGACACACCAAAGTCAGCCCATCAGTGATGCTTAGGAAGAGTCCAGGAAAAGAGCCTGATGCAGGAGTAGCAAACCTTCCTATGATGACTATAGTGCCAGTCTCCTGGTGGAAGTTGAAGCATCCTCTACTTTCTGGTTTGCTTGCAGGCCTCAACCTGGGCACAATTCAAGGGCAAATAGGAATCCTACTCCATGTTTCCTCTGTTATCTACACCCATCTTTAGCTGTCAAACCATATCCCATCTTCAGCGCTGCTCCCCAGTGGCTTTGGTATACTGTGTGCCCTAACACCTGTTATTGGAAAGGCTACCACTGCCAACCACCATGGGATGCCATGAGAGGAATAAAAAAAACCACAGGGATCCTCCAGTGATTAGACCGAGTTGTCCACCCCCAACAACTCTGTGCTCTGGAGACAGACAGCAAGGACAGTCCAGACGCGTATCACTATTTCCAGGAGACTTAGACAGTTTTTTAAAGGGGGGGGGGGGTTCTGTTCCAGGCCTGCTTTGCCTCCTGGGAGTTGCAGTCGCCTGAAGCCAGCGGTGCAGTGCGAGCTGAACCCAGAGCCAGCCAAGGGCACTGCCAGAAGATAGGCGGCTCTGCGGCTCCCAGAGCTAGCGTCATGGTGTGAGCTGCACCAAGAGCCAGCCAGGGGGCTGTGCCGGGTGGTAGGTGGCTCCACGGCTCCCAGAGCCAGTGGCGCAGTGTGAACTGCACCCCGAGCCAGCCAGGGCTGGGCCGGGCAAGAGGTCACGCTGTGCTGGAGCAGAGAGGTCATAAATGTGTGGGGGGGTCGTAGGTTGTAAGTCGGGTTCGCCTGTACAGTGATCCAGCAGCATTGATGCGTCTTAACTTCTGTTTTTTTTGTTTCAGTGACGTTACAGATCCACTGAGCACATCAAAAGGCGCATTTGAGGAAGGGACATAAGTTAAGTGCAACCAGACGAGGTTATGACCCTTTGGTTTAGTTGATTCTTGCTCATGTGCACATTTTAAAATGTAGTTGATTTAGGATATTTACAGTGAAGAGACAGTAAATTCATAGGTGCTAGGCCCTGTCCTGCTCTATCAGTAGTAAAAGGCTTTTGGCCAGCAGTGGTATAGCGAGAGTGTTATGCACCAAGGGGCAAAGGCAAAATTTGTGCCCCACCCCCACAATCATTTGTTACTATGTATATGTTATTTATTTCTAAGTCAGCAAAAATTAACGTAAATTTTAAAAAGGAACAACCCCCAGCCAGACTCCCACCTCTTGCCTGTCCCGCCGCCACATGGGGGCTCCCTGTGGTGCACAGGGCTGTTCTACTTCCAGCCAGACTGATGTGCTTTCTGGCCAATCAGCAGCTGCAGTTTCTTGGAGGGGCGGGCTACAGGTGAGGACCCAGACACTGCGACCCACTGAACAGCACCTCGGACCAACTGATGACAAAGGGAATTGTGGGGGTTGTAGTCGCAGGCAGGGCTGCATTCTGCGCATGCTCAGCCTGAACCCCCACCTGGTGCACCGCCCCTGCCTGGTACTTTGTGCTCAGTTTCCATTTCCTGCAGGTGTGGAAGCAGCCAGCGCCCGTGGGGTCCTAGCACTGTCCTTCCCTCCACTGTCCAGCCAGCGCCTGCCGGGTCCTAGGACTCCTAGCGCCATCCTTCCCTCCCCCCCCCCCCCCCCCCCGCTGCCTCCCTCGCTACGCCACTGTCGGCCAGGAAGGATTCATTTTCTTCTTTAAAAAGGTTAGGGACAAATAAAAATCAAACGTTTAACAGCTGGGTCTTTAAAATAACATAGTCAACTTACCTCTATTGCAGAGAAACTTTGCGGAGACACAAGGTCCCCTCCTAACATCCCATCCCACTCCCCCCACCCTTGGTATACAGTTTTCATTTCACAAGCGGGCAGCCATGCTTTTGCACCAAAGTAAATAAGTTGACTTTAAAGGTACAGTTGTGACTAACTGGATTAACATAAGCAGAC